CAAGTCGGGTATTTGGCTTCTTTGATGAATTTGTTATCAATGAGCTTGTTGACTTCTTCTTCCAAGGCTTGTTGTCGGTCTGGACCGAGTTTCCTTCTTTTCTGGATGACGGGTTTGATAGTGTGATCGATGTTGAGTCGATGACAGGCTACCTTCAGGTCTATTCCTTTCATATCTTCGTGCCTCCAAGCAAAGACGTCGGCATTGGACTTTAGAAACGAGATGAGTTTGGTTCGAATAGGTTCTTGGAGATTGGCCCCAATGCGCAGTGGCTTGTCGCAGATGGGTTCATCAACATAAATGACTTCTATCTCTTCAGATGGTTCGGCTCTTTTTTCTTGCTTCTTCTTTTTAAATTGACTTCGTGGGTCTAACTCATCTTCTTCCACGACTGGTTCTTTTCCAGGTCTTCTCCCTCTATCTCGGGTAAGGTCTTCCTCACTGGGATTTAAAGTCGGGATTGCTGACGTCGGCTGAACTTCTGACAGAGTTGTAATAACTTCGGATGGGTCTGAAGTCGGAAACACCGATGTCAGCTGGACTTCCGATTGAGTCGCGGCAACTCTAAGATTGACATCTTGAATGTCTTCAGGAATCAAACTTCGTGGAACTCGGGTACAGTCGATCATTCTTTCATTTTCATCAACGTGCATCTCCAAGTTATGGATCTCTCGAGAAGGGATGGCTAAGATTAGCTCACGAGCTCCCAACTGATCGCCATAATGGGTCCCCTCACCATCAGCGGTCGGAAACTTGATTGCATAATGGAAAATGGACACTGCTGCTCGCAATTTGTACAGGGCCGTCCTTCCGATGATGGCATTGTATTCATTGTTGATGTCCATGATTTTGAAATTTTCCATGATGACCTTGGAAGTTTGTCCATGTCCGAACCTGATGGGAAGAGTTATTTCTCCTAACGGAAGAGACACGCTCCCGTTGAATCCGTGTATTTTATCGTTGCATGGACGGACGTCGGCTGTATCAAGCCCAAGTTTTCTAAAGGCTTGAAGCATAATGATACTTGAATATGCACCGGTATCCACCATTATACGATGAACAGGAATTCCGCAAACTGGGGCGGTTATGATTAATGCGTCAGAATGAGGATGATCAAACAAGCTCGCATCTTCTAATGTGAAAGTGATCGGACATGTGCGCGAGTTAATTGTGTCCCTCAGGTCGGTATTCATTATTTGTTTCCCCGAGTTGTACGCCCTTCTGGCGTATGCTTTGGTCTGCCGACGTGAGGACGTTGGCTCTTCTCGGTTAGTGTTAATTCGGGGGATAGAGCCTAACCGAATTGGGATTTGAGGAGTACGGTTAGAGTTGGGACTCTCGAAGTCCCTGTTTCTTTTTCCAAGTCGGTCGTCAACCGACCTGGATCCTTGTGCCCCGAACATGAATATTTCCTTTTCTCCTTGTTGTAGACGAATTCTTTTGGAATTCATTGCGTCTTCGTCTTCTTCATCTCGGTCAGGAACATGAGCTATTTGCCTCCTTTCTTTACCTTCATGTTTGGTAAATTTTCTCACTTGTGGATTTCCAATCAACTTCAGGAGAGCCGACAATAGACTTAGACACTCATCGGTGTTGTGACCTGGAGATCGATGGTAATCGCAATACCGTGACTTGTCCAATTGACTTTCAGGAGTCTTGACTGGTCGAGCTTCAGGAATGATTCCTTTTCCTTTGATCTCTTGATACACCGTTGCGGCACCGACCGAGTAGATGGATCGGTAACTTGTGGTGAGATCTTCCTTGTATTGTCTCCTGGCAGCTTTTATGTCGGTATCGTTCTGTTCTCCTTTATACGGTTCTTTGAAAGGTAAATTCTTGGACGAGTTGCCGAGGTGCTTCTTTTTCTTGTTTTCAAAAGTCGGCTTCTGTTCTTTTGATGCGGAGAAATCGAAGTTCGGAACCGACATGGACTCCTCGGCAATAACATGTTGTTGAGCGCGAACAAGGAATTCTTGAAAGGTGTTGGGTTTGTTCTGACATAGCGCCCAGCGAAACATGGATCTTGGCTTTAATCCAGAGATTGCCGAGACAAGGAGTGTCTCTGGATGACAAGGTTCCATGTTTTGCACACGTTCATTAAAACGTGCAATATAATCCTTTAAACTTTCATCCTCTTTTTGGACTATGTTCGTGATTGATTCCTTAGGTATCAAGCTAATTTGGGCCCCGATGAAATGGGACCTGAAAGCTGATCTGAGTTGACCCCAACATCTGATCGATTCAGTCGGTAGTGAATAGTACCACTTCTGAGCTTTAGGACCTAAGATTAAGGAAAACATACGACATCTTAAAGCATCGTCAGCACCATGCAAGTCCATCCATGACGTATAATGTCCGAGATGGGCATCAGGATCAGCGTTTCCGTCGTAGAGGCCAATTTGGGGAACTTTGACTTTTCCCGGTAACGGACCTCTGGTCAACTCGGTTGCTAGGGGAGAACCGACTTCCATATAGACATGGCCCGATTCTGGCACGTGAGGGTGCTGATAAGGCCTGATTTGAGTGGTTTGTCGGGCTTCCAACTCTGCCACCTTTCTTCTTAACGCCTCAACCTCGGAAGCATTACGTCGAGCGCATCGATTACGCTCAATCTGCGTTCTCAGGTCAGCCGGATTCTCGTTTTGTTGAAATAATGAACGTGCCGCATGGGGAATTCTGGGCACATGCTGAGGATAACTTTCAACATGCCGGGGGTGACTTTCAGCAACCATTTCTGGTTGATTCATTTCTGGTTGGTTCATTTCCGCTGGCAGTACGTTGTTCACCGGCGGAGGGGGTGGATCGCGTGGTTGTGAAGTGGCATGGGACGCCGCTTGATTATTGTTATCCCTTGGTATGGGAGGACCCTGTTGTCTTGCCGGAGTTATAGGAGCAAAAGGTTGTCCTGGTATTCTATGTGATGGCCCCGGCATGGTTTGGGCCACCAAAGCAGTGAGTCCACGAGCAAATTCAGGGTTCTGCATGAGCAGGGTAATGTCCGGCATCACAGGTACTGGATTATGTTGACCGGTTGGCGGTTCAACAACACGAACGGCGCTTCCCATGGTTGTTGGATTGTCTTGTCCGGACTGTGACATTCTCGATTTTATGAGATGTCGTGTGTATATTTCGAAAATTAACCCCAAATATCTTATGGGGCCCTCCTTCTAGCGCCAAAATGTTGATAAACGGATTAAATCAACGTTAACAATGTAAAATTAACACAAAAGGTTGCAGAAAATGAGATTTTTATTGAATATTTTGAAGTCGGTTTCAGTACAGGGAGGTCGGTTTTTTCAATATATTTCAAGTCGGTATACAGTGAGACAGCCGAGTTGAAAATATGAGTGTTTATGATCTTTTTTCGAACCCCTCTGTCGTTTTCGGAGCCGCTATTTATAGTTATGTCTGGCACACATCCCTAGACAAATCATTCCCGTTTTAATGAAGATTTGACGTCTTAGGGACGGCGATGACGTAGAAGAACTTTTTAGGTAATGATTAGCATGGGCGCGCCTCTATCTGTGTGACGAGTGTCACATCTGTCGGAATGAAGTCGGTTCGTCTTGTGATGTCGGTATTCTGATAGATCTTCAATATTCTACGACTTCTTAATAAATAATTCTTTGACCGAGTTGGCCTTTTTCAAGGCTCAGACGACTTGTGTTGATGTCCGAAAATTCTGCGGTATCATTTACGGGTACCGAGATGAGATTACCAGGGTACAGTATGTCCTTCTTGACGTCGTCCAGAATCCAATTTATGAATTAAACTTCACGATTTCTTTAATTGTATCATAATATCAAGATACTCTATCTTGATATCAACATAGAGGCCCCTGGCATTAAGAAGTATGACAAAAGTGCAAATAAAACTACAAGGCCCAACGGGAGAAGAAAGAGCAGCTAAAAGCTGAATAAAAAAGAATCATTTTAACTTGTTTTTCCCAAAGATTTTGGCGAAAACGTGGAAATTAAGTATTACACGAAATAAAGTTTAACAAATATTCTACATTATAATTTCAATTAAATTATATAAACAAAAGAATTTTATTACATGGTGTTTAAACGTAATATCATAATGAAAACTAATACAGTAAATTTATATTTTATTAAGAAAAAATAATATGTATATAAGTGTTAATTTATTTCATAAATTTATCATATATTATGAATTTAAAATACTTAAAAAATTAATTAACGAGAGACCCGACTCTGTAAATATAAATTATGTTGCAATACAAATAAATTTATTTTTTTTTTATAAAATTAAATTCAATTTATAGGATTGTAAATAATTTTTTTTTTCCCGAAACGATAGATGTACTATATTAATAAAAACCGCACAAAGTGCGAAGAGAACGCAGCCAAAGGCTGAATAGTACAATCAAAGACTAGAAAACTGGGAGGCAGATCCAGAGATCGCCTAGAGCCGACCCCAAAAGGGTAATACTCGGGAACACAAAATAACACAAGAAAACTAAAATCTCCCAAGGGGAGAATGAGACAAAAAGAAAAGAAAAACGACCCCAACAGGATAATGCCCGAGTGCACGATCCCAACGGGATAATACAGTCACACTCGGGTTCACAGGGGTTAACAACCCAAACCAAAAACACAAGACCGAAGACAATCTAAAACACCTAAATAATCAAAAAAACACACAGAAACAAAAAATAGCACGAGCCCTTCCACAGCAGCAATTCCAAGCCGAACCAGCAGTCACCAAATCGACCCTAGGAGGCTTCCTCTGCCCAAGAAAACCGACTCGCCACTGCCGAACCGCCTAGCAAAGTCGAATCCCAAGCCTCGGAATACACCCAAAGCCAATTCGCCCCAGAGCCGGAGAGACCCCAAGGTTATACCCAGCCGTCGCAGTACCGAGCCTACTAACACCACTAGCAAACTCGGTACCAATGGCAAAGCCGAGCCGAGCCTGCGGACCACAAGTCGACCCAACTCGCCCCACAGTCGGAGAACAACCCAACTGCCCCCAGATACCGATGCACTGAACCTCGCTAACACCACTACAAGAATCGGCAACACCGGCACTCCCTCCGAACCCAGCCAGAGAACGGGGGGAGAGGAGCAAAGAGGTGCAATTGCAGCCCCGCCATCGCCGACCAAAGCCACGAGCTGCCGGAACCGCACCCGGTCCCAACCCAGTGAAAAACATCCCACCCAACACCACCGCCTAAGGAAGGAGGCGACGACCCTAGACGAAGCCGGAACCTGCCAGAGAAGCAGCAACGACCACCGACGCAGATCCATCCTTTCCGTTGCGTTGCGAAGGAGCAAGAGGAGACACGACGGGTTGAGAGCCAGGCGGCCAGGAGCCGACCGCCGGCGGAGCCCGTCGGCCGCTGTGGAAGGCGTAAATCAGGCGAATCGAAGAAAGAGGAAAAGCGGGATTAGGGATTCAGAGGGTTTAGGGATTCCGTTTGTATTTTTACCATGGTTGGATTACATATAATAATATTCATTTTAGATATATATAATTTTACATATACTATTAAAAGTTATTGTTTTAGAAAAATTATGTGTGAAACACGAATGCCATTTAAATAATAATCACTAATTATTTATTATTTTTGTATATTCATATTATACATAATTTCACAATAAAAATATAATTAGTATACTTTTTTTATTAATATTAGTAATATATTTAAGTACGTGTATAATATACGTGTGGGTATATAGTACACGGGTATCTATCGTACTAGTCATAATCTTAATCGTTAATCCATCTTTGAACCAAAATTAAATTTAACTAATTATGTTTTCGAATAATAAATTTCAATATTAACGCTCGAAAATGATAATTGACTTGCAGGAATAAAAAACAACTCCAAAGAAAAACAAAGGGTAAAATATGTTGTGTCTCCCTGTGTTTAACAAAATCTGCGTGTTTTCCTACTGTGTTTTAAAAAATGCACGAAACCCCCTTATATTTAAGTAATTGATGTTTGATTCCCCGATTCCGTCCAACTTAACAGCGCGTGCACAATACCTTTTATACCTGCGAAATTTTTTCAATAGTTTATTTTACACAATTATTAATTTACTTTTATACCCTTTTGATTTTTATTGAAAAAACAAAAATTTAGTCCAGTGGAGGAATCAACCCGAGTATTATTATTATTTTTTTTTCCGAAACGGTAGATTATATTATAAATAAAAATGCACAAATGTGTGAATACACAGCAGCCAACGACTGAATAAACAGCAGTCAACAACTGAAAAAGTGGGAGGACAGGTCAGAAGACCGCCTAGAGTCCCGGCTAGCAACGCTAGAAAAACTCGCAACTAAAACTAACCAACTAAAACAACTAAAACAACTAACAACAACTAAAAGACCCCAACGGAGTAATACCCGAGTGTCGGATCCCACCAGGATAATAAATTTGACACTCGGACACACAGAGGCCGACGGCCCAAACTAAAAACACAGACCTAAACACAAGACACGATAACAAGAAAACAACCGAAAAAAAACCTAAACAAATAAAGCCCTTCTCCTGCGAAAAAAACCGAGCCTAGCACGAGGCACTAGCGAAATCCAGACCAAACACCCGATAGCATAACACGAAAGCCGGAAACCCCTCCCACCACTGCCTAAAGCCTAGCAAGGAAGAGTCCAATCCTCGAACCACACCACGGATGAGGTCGACCTACAGCCCAACAAGGATCGATCCGCCCCACCACACAGGCCCGCTTCCCGCGACCCGACCAAAAACCGATGGCCAGAATCCAGACATGTCGGGTATCCAACTCCACCAAACCAGCAAAGAGGACACAGAGGCAAGAACCAAACCAACATAACCCCAGCCGATTCGACTCAAAAGAGCCGAGCCACCAGGACCGCACCCAACCCCAATCGCAACCACTCACCTCCTTGAAGCCACCCACCACTAACCTGTAGCGCAACAGACGAGCTCCCAGCGGGGACCGGGTAGTGAGGACGCCAACCGACGGCCAGCCACCATAGCCACTACACCAAGAAACCGAACTCGGAACCACGACTAGCGGGAAGAGAGTGGTGAGAATTGCCGATAGCTTGGGAAACGCCATCGGCGCAGATGAGCTAGCGATGGAGAAATTGAGGAGGGATGATGAAGCTAAAGGTCATCCGCCGGCGATAGGCCCGGCTATTCGCCGGAGAAGGCGCGCGATGTACCGAAATCGACGAGCTGCGGCGGCAAGGGTTTAGAGGAGAGAAATTTGGGATCTGTGAAAAAACAATTAACTTTGTTTATCAATCAACCCGAGTATTAAGAAAATGAGATTACCCACTAAACCACTAGGCCATACAGACACTTGTGTAACAACTAATTAAATAAAATAAAAATATATAGCAGGTAATTTAATATCATTGTAAATTTTCATTTATTAGAATAAAATTAATTATATAAATTTGAAAATGAATAATAATAATAATAAAATTAAATTTAATAATATAATAGATAGATTAAATTTAAATTCAATAATAATAAGAATAATAATAATAATAATAACTTTATTTAAATTAAATTAAAATAAAAATAATGAAAAATAAATTGAAATAAAGTAAGATAAAAATGAATTATAGTAGCAGGAATTAAAATTAAATTACTTTATAATTTTTATTTATAAAATAAAATTAATTATATATTTTTTAAAATGATGTCACACATATTTAAAACATAGAGTAATAACGCGCCTGCCCATCTATATCTATATATATATAATAAGAATTAATATTTTTCAAAAGTAGTAAGTCAAATTTTGGTCCAAATCCTTTCTGCATTAATTACATGCCACTTTTGGCAACTTTTTTTTTTCTTACAAAAAATCGGGCAGCATTAAATGCTGCCCTTAAAATGTTGGATTTGTTCAATCACAAAAGATTTGAACACATTTTTAGAGATTCAGACCCTTATTATAAATTAAATTTCAAAATACAGTCAAAATTTATATAACCGACTAAGATTTGTAACATTTTTTTAAAACAAATAGACATTCAAATAGAAAATGAAACTTCATTTCCGGTATTCATTTTTTTCGACTGAACAAAATTCGGATTTCGACAAAAAATTGAAAAATTCTTCCACATCCGTCCATTAAACTTACGAAATTTCTAAATCTACTAAAAAAAAGCAATATGAATTAAAATAATTGAACAACAAATGACATAAGTCTCGATATACAAAAGAAAAACTTTTGAAATGGTCGAAATAGTAATAACAGAGTCAGTTTTTCATCGGTTTCGACTAAAAAACAAACATAAAATCTTAGAACACGCAAAAAAATATGACAATCAAAAGAAATAAAATAATAGAGGCATCTTTCTAAACATAAAGACAAGATATAATATCGATCTATCTAACATAAGAAATCGACCCGTAATAGATGTGATTGATTGTTTAAAAAATAAAACATTTTTGTGAAAATTTGAAAGAATATTTTATCAAGTTTCTAGAAGTGATATATAAGAGAGAGAGAATAGAGAAGGAAAGCGGTGGGAGGAGGAGAAGTAATGACATAACCCTAATAATTTGGATATTTTTAACTTTTTCAGATGTCATCTTTGATTTCTGACTGTTAGATATCGGTTGACTAATTCAGACTGTCTGATCCATTCTTTTAAGCCATAACGGTTGAGATGTTGGGTCGCACTTAATGATTCAGTCTGTTCTCATGGTTGGGCTTTATTTTGGTCAATTCAATAATATGTTATTGGCCCGTTAAGTTTGACCCGACCAGTTTAGTTGAATACATTATATTGTGCAACATAATTGGGCTTCAGATTTTTTTTTTTAAATAGACAGGTTTCGCTATATAAAAATAAATAAATATATGAATTCCATAAATTATTACAGCCGTGCATAGCACAGATTACTCAGTGTAATAATAATAATAATAATAATAATAATAATAATAATAATTTCTGAAACCTTGCGAACTCAAATTTTCACACGTGACATCATAATTCTCTTTTAAAAAAGTATCAATAGTGATTTCTCACTTACGTAACTCGAACTCGAAACCTATTTATAATTATTATTTGATATTGTTTACTCGTGCATCGCACGAATATGGACTAATTTCGCATAACACAACGGGTGCAATTTCTATCTCCCAAAAACATAGAGCCTACAATAATAACGGTGAAACCCCACGTACCCAATCCAAACCCCAGAAAATATCCAACTCCACTTGGCATAAACTATATAGTTCTTCAATGTAAAGGAATAAAAAACTCTATTCTACTTGTCGTCAAATCAATGATTTCAACGAACAAAAACAGCTTGCGAATATAATAATGCTTCCAGATGTTTCCACAAACTTCTCGTTGGCGACTGCCTTCTTCCTTAAAAACCCCACCTTTCTCCAATCCCTTCTTCATCGGAAAAAGAAAAAAAGAATCCCCATTCTTTCTGCATTTTTTCAGCTCCCCAAAACCCAATTTCTCCGCAAAATTTTGCTACTCAACTCAAATAAAATGGCTTCAGAAACGGATTTTTCATCCGAGCCACTGCCGACTTTCATCGAACACCTCGCGGCCAACAGACACAGAGACATCTCCTTCATTCTCCCCCTCATCTTGGGCCTAACCTCCCCCAGCCCACCTCATGAAACCCAGGACGAGGCCGGTCCACGTCAGCCGCGCGGTCGATTCATCCTCGTCAGCCCCTTTGCAACCGAAATAAACGGCGGCAAAAACGGGCGGCCGCCGGCGTCAAAGGCTTCGATTGACGCCTTGGAGAGTTTGGAGATCGAGAATGACGACGAACCATGTGTGGTCTGCCTGGAGGATTGGGAAATTGGGGAGAAGGCTAAGAAAATGCCATGCGGCCATAGGTTTCACGGGAAGTGTGTGGAGAGGTGGCTGAATATTCACGGGTCGTGCCCTGTTTGTCGATATGATATGCCAGTGGAGGAGGATGAAGATGGTGATAAGAGAGGGATTTGGGTCGGGTTTGGGTTTGGTTGGGTTGATTCTAGTGTTAGGAATTGGAGTAGTCGATTTCGAGATAGTGATCAAGAAATGCAGCAGGGCTAAGAATTACATTTTTCTTTATTATTATTTGTTTTTTTTTTTTAATTTTATTTTTTTATATAGGATGGATCATGGATGGAACTTCGTTGTGGATTTCAATTGAATATAAAGATGGGTTTTTTATTGTATATTTTAGTTTTTAATGAACAAAATTATTGTCTTCAAAAGATAATTTTTTTTTAAGTGCAAAAAAGAAAAAAAAGATAAAATTTTTGTGATCTGTATTAGGATATTGATATGTGGTGCTTTACATGATGACTTGAAGTTGTTATTTCCTTTGGCGGTGTACAGTTGTGAGATATGTTGGTGACCTTGGGATAAAAGTCGGATCTTGGGAGATCATGTTTAACTAGTAATTCCCAGAGTTGTGAAGAAAGTTTATTAAACGTCATTGTACTTGGCTGTGACTCGCAGGGGCATATGGAATTAAACCCATTTGCTGATACTGATGCTTCAAATTTGATTTGAACCAGTTGTAATTTGCTCATGGTTTCTGCCATGGATTGAATGAAGATGTATTATAGAGGTTTTGTGTTAATCCTGGGTTCTGTATTTGTAGAACTCCCTTATTGGTCACAACACTATTTTGCAATTGTACAATCAATTTCATCTGTGAGGCACCGGATTTGCTTTATTTTTTCCTTCCAGACGGTCAGCAAGGGTAAACATAAGCACATACTTTTGCTTGCCAGAATTTTGCGAATGAGACAATGCATTCACTATGTTTGACGTAACATTAACAATTGTTATATAAATTGATGGTGAAACAAAGGAACTGCGTGTCCCTTTCAGCTCTTATTATTTATTAGGGTTTTAGTTAATACGGGAAAGCATTTACACATGATGCATCATCCCTGATATCAAGATTCTCCCACAGTCATGAAGCAAGTCGTTCAAGCTTGGAGCGGACAAGATGCACTTAGCATCATTTAATAGGAATACAACCTTCAGGACAGCGCCTCAATAGCAGGACCAATCCATCATTCCATATTCAAACCTCCAAAGGAAAAGATTTCTCCACATACACACTTTGTCTTAAAATGAAAAATGTACTATATCTATATCTATACCATTAGGGTGTGTTTTGGTTGGGTATAATAAATGTGATATCAAACCATTCACTGAGTATTCACATTGCAGTGTCCATATGCTTAACATGTTTTGTTTGCAACTATTAGGTCCTGAAAATAGCTCTTGAACCAATGGTTTATCCATCAAACTGTTACTTTATGCTGTTGGAGTACAACACCAAACGCAGTGGACAAAAATACCCCTCCAACAAATATGGTAAGCACTACTCCAAACGAAAATAAGCCTAACACAAATAAATAAAAAAAGAGAAATAAAAAAATAATACAAAAATTGATAACGGAGTTTGGCGAAAATAGCCTACTTCTCCGGACACCGCCAACCGCAACGCCAAATTTACTAAACTCACCCACAAAATACAACTACGGTTAAATAACCCACAAATTAAGATTTCCTTAATTAAGGATTTCTTTCTAAGAGAGGAGAGAATAGAATAAGGTGCAATTGTAACCTAAAGGCAAGAAACTTATTTATACTAATAAAAATCCTACACAACTTGGTATACATCCGATATGGGACAACAATTAATCAATATCTAACAATTCTCCACCTTGACTAATTTTGCTCCCACTTCGACTCTTCAATCCAAATCAACTGTTGGCGGTGCCTCCAAATGCGCCTCTCGGCGCCAACTCAAATATGCAGAATGTTGGTCAAGTCTAAACAATGTTCAAACTTGACTGTTGTCACTACCTTGGTCATCATATCTGCAGGATTCTCCGTCGTCTTGATCTTCTTCAATACAACGGTTCCATCTTCTAGAATCTCCCACACAAAGTGATAGCGAACATCAATTTGCTTCGTTCTTGCATGAAATACTTAATTTTTCGCTAAGTGAATAGCGCTCTGACTGTCACAATGCACTAAGATATGCTTTTGACCAACTCCCAAGTCTTCAAGCAAACTTTGAAGCCAAATAGCCTCCTTCACTGCTTCAGTAATCGCCATATACTCTGCCTCTGCTGTAGACAAAGCAACTGTTGACTGTAAGGTAGATTTCCAACTGACAGGAGCTTTCGCAAAAGTGAACAAATATCCAGTCGTTAATCTTCGCTTATCCAAATCGCCCGCGTAGTCAATACACACTGACCAAATTCATCCTGCTCATAAACTAATCCAACGTCTATAGTACTATGCCCATGTTTGTTTGGTGGGATGGGATTGGACAAAAATAATACAATGTTGTAGGATTGCACTGTTTAGATTATTTTAATGATATGTTTGTTATGTTTGATTAGTGTAGGATAACTTTTAGGATTAAAAAAAAAAAAGAATCTAATCACCACCAACCAACATCAATATAATAAAGTATTGTTTTGCCCCTGCTGTTTAAGTGAATGTCGTAGGTCTAATTTTAAAATGAGGGTAAAATAGAGTTTAACTTCCAAGGATTAGTATAATCCCACCTTTTCATCCGGATTGACTTATCCCAATTTCATGGGATAAAAGCCATTTTCATCCCGGGCTTGCACTTCATCCCGGGCCTGAATCCTATGAACCAAACATGGGATAAGGGAGGGATAAGCTAGGATATCCTGCCTAATCCCTCCAAGCAAACAAAGGCTATGAATGTACCGTAGTATCCATTTCACAGCTTGTCAATGACCTTTACCAGGGTCATGCATATACCTGCTAACAACACCAACTGCTTGTGAAACTTGTACACACCATCGCATACATCAAACTGCCAACTACATTTGCATATGGGACTCTGGCCATGTATTCTCGTTCTTCATCATAATTTGGCGATAATTGGGTACTTAACTTAATATGAGGGGCAAGTGGTGTACATACAGGCTTCGTCTCATCTTTTATGCCGAAACACTGTAGTACCTTATTCAGATATTGCTTTTGAGTCAAACAAAGCTTGCCTCTCCTTTTCTCCCTACTTATCTCCATCCCGAGAATTTTCTTAGCTTCCCCTAAGTCTTTCATCTCAAACTCTTGGTTCAACTGAGCCTTCAAATGATCAATCTCCACTTGGCTCTTTGATGCAACCAACATGTAATCCACATATAAGAGTAAGTAAATGAAAAATTCATCTTGCAGCTTGCGTAGATACACACAATGATCATGTTTGCTTCGTGTGTACTTCTGCCCAATCATAAACTTATCAAACCGTTCGTACCACTGTCTCGAAGATTGCTTCAGTCCGTACAACGATTTGTTCAACTTACAGACTCAATTCTCTTTTCCAAGAATTTTGAATCCTTCTGGCTGAGTCATGTAGATTTCCTCATCTAAATCTCCGTGTAAGAACGCCGTCTTCACGTCAAGTTGAGCTAGCTCCAAATTCAACTGTGCTGCTAGGGCCAACAAAATTTTAATGGAAGAGTGCTTAACAACTGGAGAAAACACTTCATTATAATCAACTCCTTCATTCTGAGCGTAGCCTTTAGCCACCAATCTTGCCTTGTAGCGCACAATTCTTATGAGAAAATTCATCTTTCTTTGCAAATACCCACTTGCATCCTATCGCCCTCTTGCCTTTTGGTAGTTGCGTCACCTTCTAAGTCTGATTCTTCTGGAGAGACAACATTTCTTCCTCCATAGATCTTTTCCACTTCTCATTTTCTAAACTCCGAATTGCATCTTGAAAAGTGAAAGGTATGTCATCATCAACAATTGGAAGTGCATAAGCCACCATATCCGCCAATCGAGCAGGTTGTTGAATCTCTCGTCTGGGCTTTCTCAATGCAATGGGTAACTCTAATGATTCTTGAGTCTGTACTTCATCATCCGACGAATCCTTTGATATTGGTTCGTCAATCATAGCTGGTCGTCTCGTCATCGCATCTATCTCCACCTGCTTCGGTGCAACTCCATCTGTTGGGTTTGCGTCGTCTATATCATACCTTGTTCATCAAATGTAACATCCCTGCTGAACACAGTTTTGTTCGTCTCAAGACACAAAAGACGATATCCCTTCACGCCAATTGTGATTCCCATGAACAAAGCTTTTTTTGCTCTTGGATATAACTATGAATCCTTCACATGATAGTACATAGGACACCCAAAAACATGTAAAGACCCATAGTCAGCAATAGGTTTTCCCGACAATACTTCCAACGGTGTTTTACCATCTTTTGCAGATGACGACAATCGATTTATGAGGTGTTGCGCGTATGTTACAGCCTCAGCCCAGTACTCCTTGCCCAAACCAGCATTGGACAACATACATCGAACTTTCTCCACCAATATCTGATTCATGCACTCTGCCAACCCATTTTGTTGTGGTTTCCGCCTAATGGTAAAGTGTCTAACAATGCCATTTTTTCTCAAATTTCTTGAAAGGGATCACTTGTATATTCTCCACCATTGCCTGTTCGTAGGACCTTCATCTTCCTTTCAGTCTGATTCTCAATTTGTGTCTTTCATGTAATGAAAACACCAAGCACTTCATCCTTCGTCTTCATAGTGTACACCCAAACACGTCTGGAAAAGTCGTCAATGAAAGTGACAAAATGGCGTCTTCCGCCTAATGATGAGTTCTTAGAAGATCCCCAAACATCCAAATGAACATAATCCAAGACACCTTCGGTATTATGGATAGTCGTTCCAAACATCACTCTCTTCTGCTTTTCCGAACACAATGCTCACAAAAGTCTAATTTGCACACTTTGACATCTTTCAACAATCTTTGTTTTGCCAATGTCTGCAAGGATTTTTCACCATCATGTCCCAACCGCATATGCCACAACTTGACTGCTTCAGACTCCTTGTTGGTGGAATCTACTACTGTTGTTGTCCCAACGACTGTATCACCTTCATAGTAATACAAGTTATTCCTCTTGATGCCTTTCATCACCACGAGAGAGCCGGATGTAGCCTTCATAACTCCATCTCGCAAAGTCACTACCAAGCCTTTCGATTCCAAGGCTCCTAATGAGATTAGATTTTTCTTCAAACTCGGC